TACTGAAAATTCTATCTTGTTCTAGCAGTGATATTCATCCTCAGATATCTAAACCCAATTAAAAACAATTCTTTTCACTAATAACACTTTACCTTTTGTTAATGTTTTCATAAATTTTATAATGTTTATAATTTTAATCACTCATATACTAATATTTACAAGAATAACTTGATGCAAAGAAACTTAGTACTAAAGTCTTATAATCACAAGTTAGAAATTTTTAAATTTTAACTTTAATGCATATTTTTGTGACAGTAAAGTAGAATGAGGTAATCAATAAAAGACCTTCAATGAAAAATAAAAACATTTAATAGTCTGTAGAAAATATGGAATGGAAATATGAGTTAAAGGAGAAAGTCAAAGTATAAAGGAGAAAATTGCAACTATTAAAGAACAGCTCCCTCATGTATTTATTCAACAGAATGATAGTGGCAATCAAATCTTTTGGTATTTATTAATAGATTCCAGTGGATACCTTTAAAAGACTGATACAACACCTTGGCTTTAAAAAGTCAGTAATCATCATATACTAGACCTTTGTCACCTTTTACAATAATTCAGCACTAAGATTCTATTACTCCAAGATACCTGAACACACACAGGGTTGGTGCCTGCAAGACCCTGAGTGCGAGTCCCTGGGTCGTGGCACTGGTTTCCTAAGTGGCTAAGCGTGAACACGCACAACCTCACCTTTGGGTGAGCCCTGCTGAGAAAGCCTTGGGAACAAAGGGGTGGAAGAGACAAGGAGGGAGAAAGCAGGGAACACACAGGACGACAGGGCTACGGAATTATTTCCTTACTCCCCCTGTGCTATGACAAAAGGACGAGGGAGTGAGGAAATAAGGAGCAAAGGCCGCACACGATTAGGCAGTGTCAGGATTAGTTCTGAGGAGCTGGGAATTTGTTTGGTAAAAGCTTCAGTCACAAAGAGATTTAGGATTGAATTCCAGTTACGCAAAGTATTCATTTCATGTTGTATAATCCGACATTTTGGTAATGTAATCCTGTTCAGAACAGACTGGGAGAAGAAAAAAGAAGGATGTCATTGGTTTGGGAAACTGAAGTCTGTATGTGCTTTTTAGAAAAAAGTAAAGCACAACTGCATGTACATGGAAGTGGCGGAGACGGGAGCAGAGTGAGCCTAGGGACAGTGCTGCAGGCACTGGGGGTCCAGGGTGACAAATGTCCCTAGAAACTCTGACCTTCCTTCCTAATTTAGACAAAATTAGACCAAGATTATACCTGGCAGACAAGCATCTACTGTGAGTTTATAAAAGCCATATATTTTGAACAATTACACCACAAAACTATTAATACATCATTATATCATAAATCAGCGGCATTAACTGTTTTAGGAAAAGTTGGGATGGGACCTCAGTTCAGTGTGGAATAGCGGTTGCCACCTGTGGGATGCTCGCACCCTCTACTCTGGCACACTCCTCAAAATAGCAGAGACAACAGGAATGGCCGTGGCTCAATATCAAATTTCCTCTGCTACTTTTAAGACTTATTATCAAATTAAGAAACTACATAGATGAAGCTAAGGGAAGAGATGTGACAGCTGAAGGCTACACGCACATGGCTTCTGTAACTGAGATTTACCCCACAAAAAGGACCTCAAGTGAAGTATTTGGATTAACTGTAATAGAATCATGAACATGCAATAGGGGTTTTTTTTTTAAATGCCTTCACCTTGAGTTAAGTGTACTAAAAACCTATGGATACACCACTGTTTTCTAAGTTTTGACTTATTTGCTTTTGGGAGGTGGGAACAGGCAGATATTGGAAAGGGATGCTACCAAAAATTACTTTAGAAATGTACTCTTGTATGCTATTTGCATTTCTCTCTCAAGATACCTTATTTTTAATCTCTGTTGTCACTCAGCACTTCCACTTTTTGACAGTTTGTTTCTGCTGCCCTAAAAGAGGGTTCGTACAACGGGCAGTGCCCAAAGAATACTTCCAAATGCTAGGTGATTTCCTTTCAATCCACATTAATAAAAATGTTCTAGAACATTCGTTTCCTATAAAGCTCAGCAGAAAGAAGTTTCCGAAAATACTACTTCCCCTGCAGTTCCCTCTCTATGCTTTCAATCAGTAAGTTCTACGGATATAAGTGTCAAAACATTCTGTGCAGCCCTTTCAACCCAAATGGCTGTTTTTATTTGCTTTATTTTATTTATGATTCAGCCTAAATGTTTACTTGTACAAGTAGTTCTGTACCTAAAAATAAAACCACATTCTAGAGAAATAGAGTATCTTTCAAGTATGACAGGTATAATCCAACATAACATTATTTCTTTTCTTTTAAAAGTCTAGTCACAATTTAGACAAAATGCTTGCTTTAGACATAAACGAGATGGACTGTCACCTGCATGGATGAATTCTTGACACCACCACTACGGCTGACACCCAGTGACATAGGAGAGGGCAGGAAATAGACTTCAGGAAAAGAAATACAGAAAACTGTATTTTCACAATGGGCAAAAAGACTAAAACACATCTGAAGTTTTCCTACAAACTCTTTTGACCAAATAGCCATAGGTAGATGTGGAACCAATTCTATAGTAATTTAGAACAGTGTGTTTCAAACTGTGGGTTTGGTTCATGAATAAGTTGTGAAATTAATGAGTTAGAATTAACAATTTAATATAATAGAAAACATCATTTGTAGTAATGGTGCGTATTCTTTTGTAAAGCTGGTTTTAATTTTAAGCACATGCATATATATATTTGCACATTGGATCACAATGGCAAATCTGTTTCCTAAGGATTTGAAAAATATTGACTGCAGAATATAAACAAATATAAATTTGTCTTGAAATTTTGCTGTTCCAAAGAGACTAACATGTACACTTTTCTTCTTATTTAAGAATATATACATTGGTTGATACACATTTGCTTCATCCTATTGAGTTCTAACATAATTGAAATAGGATTAGAGCCCAAGTGTTCTGATTCTCAGCTATGATTAACTACTGTTAGTAAGAACTACTATTTGCTGAGCACTGTGCTAAACCAGGGACTATCCTGGACATGTTACATAAATTATTTCTTTTTCAATATACGTCTAAGGTACAAATTATGATCCTAACTTTACGCAGGAGGAAACACTACTCATACAGGGACAACAACTTGCTCAGGGTCTCACAGCCAGGAAGTGGCAGAGCTGAGATTAAATCCTACATTATCGGGCTACAAAGTTTAGCTGAATTTCTCTCCATGCAGGATTCAAAAAACAGTTGTTTAAAATTAATGTTTCTAGGATTAGCTCCTTGGAATTACATTTAGGAAGTCTCAGATTACATTTCCCCACTCAGAGAACAGAGACATCAGAAAACTGCCCAAGTGGGCAGGCACATGCACAGTTGTCACGATTTCAAGCATTAGAATGACATGTATAGCAGGTGACTTATTCCCACTGCAGAGAAAGTTCTGGAAGTACTCCCAGGTTGCACACCAAATTGCAAAATTTAAAAGGTAATGTCCAGGCAGATTCTTTGGCACCTCAGGATTCACATGTTTTTAAATTTTCATCATTCTTAGTATTCAAAGGTCATGCCAGGAAGAGTTAAGTGAACTTTACTCAGAATTCAGTCCAACATCAGGGTGGTAGTGGTGGCCACTACCTTAAAGAGAATGCAAGGGTTTGTATTAACAGGAAATGTTGCCATCTCCTCCACCTCGCCCAAAATCAGATCTGCCCGCACAGATAACTAAGCAGAGACATATTCCAAATATTTAACATACTACACTTGCAAATTTGAAGTACAAAAGCTTGTCTTGTGCACAGAAGTGTAAGTGAAATTCTATTCTACACCGTGGGGGTAGGGGGTCTGTTCTTTCTGAGAAAATTTCTGGGTAAGTTTATGGGGCAATACAAATGTGATGTAACAATAGAAAAAGAGGATTTTCCTGTTCCTATTTTCTTAAAATCAAAAATCACATTAAAGTCATAATAAATGGCATAAAGAGTGGTTCAAATTCTTGTCAGAAAAACCTAAGACTTTTCAAAATTTGTGATTCTCTAAGGTTTCCATAAATACTGTGCATCGCTTTTATGCAAACTTTAAGATTCCCTTCTAAAGGGCATGCAATTAAACGTATCTGCTTAAGGCTGTATGATCAAACTGACAGCTATTTACCATTCCAATACATTTTCTGAGGATGCTCCAGATACTGAAGTCATTTCTGGAAAACATAGGAGAGGGCAAGCTTGTTCTGAAAAAAATAAAAGAAAAACAGAGTTCATTTTAATGCCACTGACATTAGGAAGGAACAATTATTGTCATTAATATGAGAGCGGCAGGCACACAGGTATAGAGGCACTTTAAAAATATGCATCATCATAGGACAAAATAGGCTCAATCTGGGATTGCACCTGTTCATTGGTATTTTGGTCTCTGAGAAATTTTATAGCAAATCCACTCACCCTCTGTCTTCAGTATTCTTCTGATCTGAATTCTCTTAGTCCTCCCCAGTCCTTGGGGTCCAACTGTTTGGACCACCTTAGAGGTATACCTGTGCTGGCACATCTGACCTTATGGTTTGCGAGGCACACTTACCATATTCTGATACTTCATAAGTCATCGTTCTCTAGCTGCTAAATAATGTAAACAAAATGCCATCAAAAAGCCTAGGTTTTTTTTTTTTTTTTTTCTTTTTCTTTAAAAAAATTAAATGGGAAAATGTCAACAAACTATAAAAGCTAAAGTAAAGCTTATGTTAGTACTTCCCCAAGGACACTGACATTGAACAAAATTTAGCAACTCTGGATACGCTGGAAAACCTTTTACAAATTAACCTCTATAGAAAGAACATCTTCGAAGTCTCTGCGGGAGTTTGGAAGTAGCCAGGAGGAGGCTGGCTGCCAGTGGCAGAGGTGTGTGGCTGGGATAAGCAGCACATCAGAGCCAGGCCGGGTAGGCAGGGAGCCGACCCCACTTCCACAGACCAGAACGGCAGCGCCACGGGGACTGGGGGCCGTGTAAGAACTACCCAGACCAACTTTCTAAAACACTGTTATAAGTTTTCCAGTTGCCTTCTGAAATATATCCGTGCAACTAAAATGCTAAAGAAAATATTAAAAAGATTATCTTCTAAAGAACCTCTAAATTAAATTAATTCAATTGTATAAGTTAATAAAATTTTAAGTTTTAAGATAAATAATACCATTTTTTAAATCATCCATGGTGGAATTCTTCTGGTTTCTTTCTCTTTTTTAGGAACACACACTGCTCATTTGGCAGATCTGTCATCTAACCAATCTGCTGGAGAAGTGACCACAGATGGTATTTAAATTACATTCCCCCCAACCCAAGACTATCAATCTCTTTGACACGAATAATGGATACCAGGGATAAGATTCCCTGCTGTTATCTACCATTTGCATGTACAACACAGTTTTAGAAGTGTATATAAATTAAATTTTCCATCTCCGGTCTATGGAAATAGTCCACCAGAAATACAACACACCTAGGAAGCTACGAACCTGAAATAAGCTCTGTAAAGAGTGAATGAGGGCTGTCAATCCCCTCAACAAATGCTTACCTTAAATATATAGGTATGCGCTACCATTCCAATTAAAGGCAAGAATAGCAGAAAGACAAGAAAAGTAATAAATATCTTGGAGGCAGAAGATAAGAGACATCCAAGCTTTGTAATTATTCTCAGTTGGAAATTGTCTCAGGATTGCCAGCCAAGAGTCCCACTCAGGAATATCCTATACTCACACTTGCACAAAACTTTTTGTGATGTTTTATGAAAATGTAATAATTACTCATTTATGAGGAGGCCAGAGTATGCACAACATTAATTTTCTATCCTGAACACAACCAGAAAGCAGAGATAGGATTCTGAAAGGCAAGCAGCCATCCGAGCCCACGTCATTTCCTCGTGAAGGACACGCAGAGCCAAGTGCTCACCCTCATTGCACAGGGACCACGCTGTGCAAGAAACTGATCAGAAGCAGCAAGAGACATGGTGGCCTGTAGCATGTACACCACGCAGAAGCCATGCTTCAGTAAACAACCTCAGGGTTGCCAACCACAGTCTAAGTCCATAGCACGATAAGGCTGCCAAAAAGGCAAGGAACAGAGGACTGCAGCTACAGCATCCCCAAGGGCAAGCTGAGCTGGGATTCAGATCCAGATGCCACTTTTGAAAGGCACCTGAACACCCCCACTTAGGAGGACTGGTTAGGCACCACACGAAGGTGTCTGGAAAGCACCTCTTACAAGCAATGGCAAGGGAAGTGCAGAGCCCAGAGATACAAAAGAAGCTGGAGTCTAGGGATCAGTGGGCTCGACATAGGTCTTTCAGCCCAGAGTTCTTGGAGCACCCAGGGGAGGTGCCTGGGATGGTAGGAGTAGCGACCACAGCCCCAGAGCCCCCAGCTGCTGTGCACCTCTGCGCACTGCATTTTTTCCCACAGCAACATGTGACAGTCTCCTGCTTATTTGTTGACCACGCCCACCCCCAATCCCACAACAGTATGTAAAACCCATGAGAACTCCAGTTTGATCTACTGCTGTAGCCCTGGTACCTAGGACAATGGCTAACATATAGAGTAGGAGTTTAAGTATTTGTTGAATGAACTCTGGAATTTATAAGGCCTATTAGCAGACATTATCTCCTTAATAAAAAATCTGGTTTATTCTGTGCTACTCAAGAAAGTAGGACTAGCACTACTAGTGACAGTTTATATTAGGATGGCTAATATAAAGACCTGTCTTACAATTAATTCTAAAATAGGAGTCAAGAGATTCTTCTTAAGGGAGCATTTCAGAGCATGGAAGGATCTGGAGGCTGGAGGATCCTGTCAGTCAGGGCACAGCAAAGTGCTCCTGCACCGAGTGGGAAGCCGGTCTAACCAGCTGGGTCAGGGATGGCATCCTAGGAGGACCTATGCAACCCCCACGGCAAGGAATTACCCAGCCTCAAATGACAACAGTGCCAAGGCTGAGAAACCCAGCCAGAGAAATACAATGAGAGCTTCACATATAATTTCAGATTTTGTAGTAGCCACATTAAAAAAAGTATAAAGGAATAAGATGAACTATAATTTTACTATTTCATTTAACCCAATATACCTAAAATACTAGCAGTTTAACATTTTATCAATACAAAAAATTATTGAGATTTTTATACATTTTCTATGTTGTCTTCAAAATCTAGTGTATATTTTATACATTCAGAGCACATCTCAATTTAGCTACTAAATTTAACAGTTAATGTGAAATCTAGACTTAAAGTTGCATTTAATGGAAGAATATTTTATATTGCTTCATTTTACAATTTAATTTATATTAATTAAAATTAAATAAAAGTAAACATTTAGTTTCTCAGTCACACAGCCAGATTTCAAGTACTCAAAAGCCATACTTTGACCAGTGGCTACTGTACTGGACAGAACGAATCTCTGTGATTACTTCTGAAAACAAAAGGAATGCACTGTTTGAAGATTGTGGGGGAGGGGCAAAAACCTGCTCAAGTAGAGGAGCCTAAAGTCAACGACAGACAAAAAACCATCCACAGCCTAATCCTGAAGAAAATGCTAAATCTTCTGCAGTGTTATTTAAGAAAGCAGAGAGAATAGGGTAAATGTTTAAATTAGGTAGCAGATTAAATTTTTAAAAAATAATTTGTATTGCAAAGGATATGTTTCTATATTTAAAAATGTGAAGAGAGAGACAGAGAATTCCCTAATGATGCCAGATGGTGGTGTTACTCCAGAACAGAGGAGAGCAGTAATTAGAACCCTCAGGCTGAAAGCACAGACCAGTTGTTCTCATGCCGTGGAGTTTATCTGAGGGTCATTCTCCTGCATTCTATGCTTCCTTTTTCTCTTTATACAGAGAGAAAACACCCTGTACCAGGGACTGGCAGTGATATGTCCTGATTCTGTTTTCAACCATACAGATGACACTATGACTATCTAGACAACACAATAACTGGTTTTTAAATGAAAAGTCTCCTCACAGTTGTTTTATCTCTGTGATACAAATGGCTCCACTTGTTAGCCTACCATTTTTTCCCAGTGTTGTAAACAGACCTCAGATTGAACCTAATTAATTTATGATAACAAATGCTGTGCTTGAATACCCCTTGTTTGGAAAAAGCTCAAGATCAAGTGATCACTATCCCCAAAATCTTTAAATTTTCTGGGTCTTGAGTACATGCATATACCTTACTAATACTGTTATACCTGGGGAGGTCATATTTTTCATGGAGGATATAAAAGAACCTTGGGATGGGAACTAGCGCACCAGTGCACACTTTTGCTACTGCTTAGCTGTGTAACCTGAGGTAAATCTTCCAAGTTGAGGTTATGTCGTTACACAATTCACCTTTTTTTCTGGAGTAACTGTTAATAGAATAATAGAAACTTTTTTTTGGCAACTAAATCTATACTAAGAAAAACAACGTCCAGGATGATTAAAATCTCTTGGAAATGAAGGTTCGGTTTCTTACCTATATGTCAGTTTTAAAGAATTTTAAAAATTCTTTGTTATGTTTATAAAGTACAAATATCCTAAGATAAAAACATTCATTGTCATTGGTGACATCATCTGACCACTAAATTATCTTCTCACTTTGTAGAAGCTCTTTGTATACTATAAATATTTTATTCACCACCTACATTACAGATAACTTTTTATCAAGTCTAGCATTGTTTTGGTTATTCTGTTCATAGTGTGATTCACCAAACCAAATCTATCTACTTGGGAAGACTATACACATTATGCTCACAATGTATATGTGAAACAAATGAACAGCTTCCAGTATTTTCCCAGGGGACAAGATAAAAACATTATTCTATTAACAGTCACTTCAGGAAAAAAGGTAAATCTCTTAATTCACAAAGTTTGGTAATCTCATCCTTAAATTTTTAGGAATTCAAGTTCTATGTGAAAACCAAGAACATATACCAGAAAAACAATCTTCTCGAGCATATACCAAATGGTAGTAAACATAATTAAATGGGGGGGAAAAAGTATATGGTTATTTTTCAAATTACAAAATAATATATTATAACAAATGAAACAACCCACAGATAAAGGACAAGCTAGTCATCCCCTGTTCCATCCACGCCAATAGTGACAGCACAAGCACTCCTTCTCGCACCTTTCTCTTTGTACAACAAGCAGATACAAGTACGTATATTCTTACTGAACTAGTACCCTACAGGTCACATTGCTTTTTCACTAAGTAACATATCA